TCATAGACTCCTCCTCCATGAGACGATTGACTATAAGGGACAGGCAGTTGGCCATGTGAGCAAAGCACTGCAGCAGTTGTGCCAGTTTCACGCAACACGCAATCCCGTGCTTGTAGCGGTGGATCAGAGTTGTGAGTAAGTTAGTGATTGCTGTTCGCACACTGGCATTGGCAGCGAGTGACTTGTTCTCCAGCAGCTTATAGCAGCAGTTTGCTAGTAGGCTAGGTAGTGAAAAAAAACGAAATCATGAGTCTTCTGCAGCACAATGGCAGGAAGAGGGGTAAGAGGTAACCAAAAGACCCGCCACGCACGGGCGATTTGGGATCTGGAAATACAGCAACGATGGAAAACAGCACAGAAGATTTTTTTATTTCATCGGAGAATAGTGTCTTCCATTATTTAGTTGCTAGTTTTAGACTTTTAGAAGAGACTACATCTTGCAGAAGCCATTTCGAAACCTTGGTAGGAGATACTCCTAGTTAAGTCATGTAAACTGAGAGATAGGAAGGCTGCCCTTGAAAGTTATATATTCATTTAAATATCCAAGGACCCAGTTCTGCAAGAGGACATAATACCTAGTTCTAGGAAAGTCAATGGCAAAATGTGGTTCTGCCAATGCTGTCCAACTACTGGGGAAAATATTATTTTCAGTTTTAGCTTTGAGTGTTTATGATGTGATTGAGTATTGGGTTAGAGTACGACCCACTGGTAAAGCTAGACTCGTAGGTTACAACATGAAATAGTAGAACATAACCGGAACTCGGTGCTTTGGGGCAAAAGGCAAGTTGCTGTTTCTAGTTAGCTAGAGTTGGCTTTTTTTAACAGTACTACTGCAACTCCGAACCGCCATGAAAAAACATGAGCGATAGGAATGCGCAAGTGGCTAACGATCACTTTCCCTTTCTGCGTTAAACAAACTGGGGATCTCAGACCATTCTTCGACTAAATGCGGATGTCCATTGACTTCCTAATTGTGATAAACTCAGTGACCTCGATGAAACTCAAACCCCGAACAGACGCAGTAAAGTTTCAGTACAGAAAAACACTATCAATTGAGCCACAATGTCCCGGTCGCGTCTCGAGCTTCCCACAATTATGGCCTAGCCTATTCTAATGTACTCGCTAGATGAATACATTTTGAAGGTGGTGTCGGTGATGAGGCAGTCTGTACTGTGGAAAGGTGGACGCTTGACATACACGCTATCACCATAAGTGTTAACTATAAAGTGCTCAAACTAGGATCACAAGACGCCGAAGACTAAAATAAGGAGATGATATGGAAAAAGAAACCGGAGAAGCGCATAAAGCGGCGCCCTCGGTATAACACCGTGGGTAACGAAAGGTGAATTGCGATGGCAAAGCACCAACTTTACGAAATCTTCTTCGACTACTGGAGGGTCCCAGAGGTGCTTGATTTCCAGTTTGCAAAGCTGGTCGAGGGTGGTTACGGCGTTTGTACATTCAGTAGGCCAGTCGAAAGAGAAGGCGGCATCAGCTGCACGGTTTCTTGCTGCCGATTTGCCACGACCACGGCCAACCTTGGGGTCAGTATAAAAGTAAAGCGATGAAATTTCGCAGAAAAATATTCATAAAACTAAAGAATTGGGAAGATAATGCCTCTACGATGCTAACTGAGGGGCTGGGGTAAATATTAAGGGACCTCCGACGATCTAACAGCATACACGTCATTTCTGATAATCCTCCAGCATCCTTTCGGTCCAGTGATTTTAAACAGGGCAAAGTCCCAACTACAGGGTAATATCGGTCAAAACGTTGGTTGAAAGCATGTGTGGACTAGTTGTCCTGGTAACAGAGGCTAAAGTTCCGAGGCAAAAAGGGTCTACATCAAGTGGCGAGGGATGGGGGGGAGTAAAAGTACGCTGACTCAATCGATAGGTTTACCAACAAAAGCAGGGAAGACTGGAGTGGCCTTTTCCAATCTACATTTCGTCCTGCAGCTGACCAGATATACAGTGTTTTTTATGAATGCTGTCCTAAAAACAACAATGAGACTGGAAATGAATGTAGTAGTCGCAGTAAAAGCCCGATTATGATGCGCTTCATTCTCGCCACAGACACCTCACAACCTGTACAGCACGCAAGACCCCCTGAGACTAGTGCGCGTGGATTCACTGATAGACAGAGACTGCCCAAATGAAAATCTATTTAAATTGCTGATCCAAGGAGCCAAACTAACCCATTCCAAGGGCCCTGGTGCGAACAGAGAAGGATTGAAATAAGAAAGTGCGGCTGACGGCAGGCGCCAGTGATGATAAGGCAGGGAGAACGAAGAAAAGTGCATCCTCGTGCTTACCTTGGTAGCAGAAACCACATTGCTCTCTGCCGTGAGGTCATTTTCGATCATTTCAACGAGCTGGCACAGAAGGTAGGTATGCATCTTGGTGGAGTTACGATATTCAGAGACAAGTGAACGGTTGAGTGTGCTGTTGGGATCGGATGATCGATTAACAACGCTCACCAGTTCACGCACTGTCGTTTCACAACCTTGGGTAAGGATAAGGCACCTAGTTACTAGGTGATCTGTATTAAGAGAGGAACAATTCAATGGTAGTGGAGCGCTCACCAATCGCGTTATGGGACACAGTCGTATGGTTGTGCCTTGAGGCCCAATTTCGAGCCCCACCAGAAGTCACACAGCGGCCAGTAATAAAGGCAGAATAACGTTACCAACAAAGACAAGGAGGACTCGAATGGCGACTTCTGGCTTAGTAGCCTTCATCAGCCAGCCATGCCCAACCCCCGACTTTAATCCCTGAGGCTCGATCTTGAGATTCGTTGGTTAGACGTTTAACTTTGTTCCGCCTGCTGTGCGACTCTAGATTAAGCCTTAAGGCACAACGGGACGAATGTGTCCCGTAACGCGATTGGTGGGCGCCCCTCTGGCACTCCTAATATACGCGGTCGCAATCGGCTGAACAACAAGCCTGTGGTTGATTGGCTAGGGCATTGGACTTCTAACCAACTGGTCGCGGGATCGAGCCTCGGGGGTCGCAAAGCCTGGAGTAGGGTATGGCTGACTGATAACGGCCAATATGTCAGAAATCGATACTCCAGTCTCTTTAGTCTTTGGGAATAACGTTATTTTGCCTAGAACGGATTCGTCGCGAGTTTCCGATAGGTGTATAACAGGCAAGTTTCTATGCAGTCATCAATAAAATGTAAGACATTAATGTGCACTGTTTTTACGTCGCACGCCCAGATGCGAGTGACAAAAAGGGCAGGTCAAACACGAAAAATTAGTCCACTGAGGCAATGGGACACAGTGACATTTGTTGAGCAGTCTACGCCGTCACAATCAAGAGCCAGTCTCCTTAGTGCTGCTGACAGTCATGGTAGTTATTGCGTTTGCAGTAGTAGTAGTAGTAGTAGTAGTAGTAGTAGTAGTAGTAGTAGTAGTGCTGGTTTGAGTGCACCGAGGCTGATGTTGTAAGTTTAGAGGAGAGGCTTTCCTACCAAATATGTACAAACACAAATAACGAACCTTTGAGTGTAATGTTCCATGCGTCTTCCTTCACAGTCACATCTGTCAACTTCCATTCACTGAAAGTAAGGAGTGCATCAAAAGATTGTAAAACGATGTTTGAAAGCAGTGTTTAAAAAATGGCATCAGTTTGTACACTGCAAGGTGCAAATCGAGGGGATGACGGAGGGAAAGAAGTGGAATTATAAACACTATTTTCCTAAAAGCCAGAACCGTCAATGTGGCCTGTGCGGAGAGCAGGATAGTTATGACAACTGAATGCAAAAGCATGAAAGTTTGCTCACGAAGGGACTGGTGTTCAATAATGTAATGGATCAAACAAGGTACAAAAACCTACTGCAGGACGCTGTAGAGAACGTCGAAGTATTGCAACACCCCGAGCAGGCCCGCTCGAACAAGCTGCCGTTGACAATCTGAAAAGTACAAAATAGCTGGCATCAGTGGTGTCTCTCCGACGTATTCGACATCGTCCCAACCCGCACATTGGACAACAGTGATTTGCAATGCTGGAGGAGCCAGACACATGACCTCACGAAATGAAGGCGTGCGGCAAGTGACATTAATAGCTACTAGTTCATGCTCAGCGGCGTCTGGTAGTTTGTCAGTTGGCAGTGGTTGCTATGACGCGCGCAAATTGGCTAATAAAGCGAAAACTATGGGTAACACCGGTCTCCTTGTCTCATCTCACAGTGTCATGGGATCAAAAGTCTATCTAGGCGACTAGTGATGAAACAAAGCGCAGTAGCTGATTGTGCAGATTGACCAGTCAACGCGGAAGACAAGAAACTGGTCCCTGTCCCCACGACCTAACGAGACTTCACTCGGACATCAGTACGATAAGCAATGCTTGGTCCCGTCTTAGGGTTGAAACCACAACCCGGAATGATCATCTCAATTTTTATCGCCTTCGCCTGTGTCACTTCCCAATTCGTTATTGCTTGCCATTATGGGGGACTCTAAATCGAAGTTTCAAGTCAAAGCGAGCACCAGCACTCCGTCCTGAAACCAAACCAGACCAGCGAGCGCCACTCTCAAGTGGACTTGAGTATTCGCGATAAAAACCGGCAGAGCGTAAGCCCGCGTAGGACGTTAAACTGAATGACCTACCAAACGCTAGCTAAAAACTCTAGGTTTCCCCGGCCAGAGTTTGAGTATGGTTCGGTGACGGCGGCAAATAAATAAAAATTGTCATGAGAGTCTCCCTTGTTTTGTTTCTAACACTTTATGATTACTTCGCAGTGTGGGAGGCATGCCAAGCAAACATTATACCCTAGCGACGGTCAACAGGCAAAATTAGAGAGTTTTTAGACTCAGTGCTCGGCGGGACTAAATAAACGCAAGTCAATATTTCTACCTTCAAGGGAGTCAACGTACCTTGGACCTTAGACTGGAGACCGCGCACGGAGCATGTCTCGTTAACGGCATAGGAAGTTGCAGTCGCTGTCAGAAGGTCCCCGCGAGATACCGGCAGCACGAATTCCAGCATTGTATAAGCGAGTCAACGTGACAGGGGACGAAGCTTTGGCTGAAGGCGGGATCATAAGACTCGTGAAACAAGTAGCAGCCAGAGGTAGAAGGTTACGAGCTACAGTTCTAAGTGTAGCATGGTATTACAATGACCCATGCAAAGCCAAATGCAGGTTTTCAATCATTCCTGCCACATAATTAGTTCAACTCTTCTCCATGGAAAGCCTGAATAACACCGGGCACGGATGTTTGGGGCCCGGAAGCATTGCAAATATTCTATTTAGACGTCCTCATATATGCGAAGCATTTTAGAGAGTTAAAGGTGCTCTATAAGTTTCCATGCACTCTGGATTCTAGTGAACATAAACGGTGGCTTTTCATGCGTCGTGAATTGTTAATATAGATACAAGAGGCTAGGATGAGTTTCCTGGCAAATGGATATAAATCCTAATGCTTAAGGAGCAGGGAGTAGTTTGTATCTACCATGCAGTCGCTGAGGAAGCTGAGTCTTTATCTGCGTCCCTCCTTTCTAGCCTGGTTAGATCAGGCACTAGCAAATTATTGGTATTTTCCGCGAACATGGTGGGAGGCTAGGGTTGATCAAACCGCTGGGAAGTTGTGTTAAGCGGACGACCGGTGGGAATGCTGGGAGAAACATTTTCGAGAGAACTCTGAGGACGACGCGGATCAATCGGGTTACTTAGAACAACAGCAAATTTCACCAACATACTAGAAGGCCAGCAGTAATATTAAAATAGACATGGAAGTTATGGTCGGCCACGCTGCGCCATGAAAACTTTTCAGCCAGAGAAACGATGGAAAAGAGGAAGAATTTGAGACAGAAAAAAACCTAAGAATATCCAGACACAGGAAGGGCTTCTAATGAACAACGGTTTAGTAGTGGTGGCATTGGACGCTTCAATAAGACCAAGGAGACAATGAAGAGCCGCCTAATTCTAAAGATCTTCGATTGCTCTCCGCGCGGCTTATGGAAAGACAGTAAATGTGTTATAGTCATCCGAGGCAGGATGCCGATTTCTGTTTGCGATAACGACTTTTGACCTAGGCGAAACGGCGACCTAAATTCACCGAAGTGGCGGGAACTCGTCAACGATTTCCGTCCTAAGTGTCTCCAGATTAGCTAGTATTAGGAGACTGTGGACATCTCGTGACCAACAATCTCGTACTTACAGTCATAAATGCAGGGAACTTGCTGTACAGACAAGAACACAAGAAGAGTATAGAAAATATAGCATCCAGTAAGGGAAAACAGGATGGAAAGTTCGCAAAATCTTTTTTTGTCAAAATGGTACGACAATTATCCGGCTGCGGATATCAATAATCAAATCGAATTTTGCGAAAGGACACATTGTGAATGCCGATGGACCAGGAGCTTGATGTGCATAAAGTCAAATCTTGTCAACATTATGTCAAGGCTTGCGAGAAAGACTGTATTACAACAAGTCTGATAAAAGCATTAGAAGAGTAAGGAAGCGAAGTACTAGGCGTCAGTGATCAGTAGACTAAGTTATTCATAAGACCTAAGCTGGACAACTGCAATCAACCCGAGAACGGCAGATCCCAGTAAAAAGGACCCATAAGACTGGCTCTTTTGCTGAAAAGCTATACGTGTGAAACTTTCTTATTGCTTTCGACAGATGTCAACGCCGTCTAGTCCTTGGTTTGCTTCATAGAAAGTGGCAAGCACAGAAAACACACCAGAATCAGGGATGCAGAAAAGGGGTTCAATTACACACATCATAGAGTAACAACTAACTGCTCTGTCGAAAGTACTCGGACCTCCTAAATGTTTTTTTTTCCGGATGGAAACAAACGTGCTCAGGTAAGCCCAGAAGTCAAAGTGTGAGCCATGACACGGCGTAGGTACATAAACTGTAATGACGTGAGGAACAGAAGTTCTATAAAGGTTTTATTTGGCGTACTTTATAGATGACGTAAAACACGACCAACGCAAGTGTCAAGTCGGGGAGATCAGTCAGCTTGACATAGAGATATGTGAAGTTTTTCCTTTTGAGTCGTAAAAGGAATAAAGATGTGTGGCTGTCAGCGTTGACAAGAAAAAAGGTTACTATGTCGATAAAAGCTATTAAACACGGATTTCGTTTGGAAAAAGCTTAAAAACAAGGACAGGAACTGCCAGAATTTTAGTTAGGAATTGTGTTCAACAATGACTTAGTATACAAAGTATGACGACAAAGTAAGGATTTTTGAAGATCAGAAAGAAGCTTGTGAACGCTTACCACCCTTACACTAATGGGCTTAAAAGCAAAAGCGTATATGAGCAAGTTTCCGCAAAAATAAACAAGCAAAACTCCGAGTCAGTTGAACTCACTTACAAATGTGTATTTGTACTTTGATGCACAACCTTGGATGAAGTACAGCTGCAGTGAGTTCGATTCGAGATTTTAGCAAATAGTCTCACTTGTTTGACCAAGTCGGCGCATTCGGTACTGATACAGTCCGGATGAGGCGACGGCACCTTACCAAGAGGAAGCCGAGAGAACTCGGCCTTTGTCTTCACAGCTGTAGTTTTGAACAACTCCCGCTTGCTTTTTGCCTCGGCGTCTGGTAGAATATAGCAAAAGAGATAAGGACTGATGTAGAGGAAATCCGTTGAGGTAATAAGAATATAGAATATCGGCGGCAGTTGGAAAAGCATTCATACCTACTCGGGAAAAAAATGGTCTGAACAAGTTCGAAAATGCCTATACGAATGATTAAGAGAATGCGGACAGAGTGGTTGATTGGTTCGGGCAAGAACAAACAGGAACATGAACGAGAACTGAAGAGAAATGAGGAAACATTTCTCACCTTTAGGGTCCACGAATTGCCGCAGTCGGAATGCGATCCCAGTTAAATTTTATACGTTATTCTAAACCATCAGTCCTCTGAAGTTAATTTGCGCAAGCTGGTTGACATGGGATAAGTCTTAGACGGCGAGGTGTGATTTTGGAGAGGAACGAAGCTATCATTAGCATCGTATTGACAAACTGCACATGGACACTAAGAGGTGGACTAAACTTTCAGCATCCAAGAGTTATAGTTCTGGGTAAAATCAAGGTAAGGGAGGTCGAAAGAGCAAAACGGACAGACCACTGTGGTAAACCGCATTTAAAACCTAGTCGCTGAAATCTGCACATTCAGAAAGTGATGAGGACGGTGAGAACAGAGGGGAATGTGCATCTAATCTAGTCTTTCTGTTGTGTTCTAGTACCAAAACACCAGATTTAGCCGCCCTAACAGTAATAAAGTCATTATAAGTAGGCAATTATAAAGAGTACGAATTGACCATGGTAAGTGGTTGACGTACAATTCATGGATGTGCTCGAATTCTCCGTAAACACTGCATTACAAACGCATTCAGTGAAGACAACGAGAATAAACCATATATACCGGCACACTTTTCAATGGAGCAAACGACTAACAAAGATTTTCGTCGTTCAAAATTTTCTTTGCACCACGAGTAAAGTGGCGTTCTGAAGGCAAAGATGGGGAAAACAGCTCTTTACGAAGGTAGAAGTCATATGACCCATGCATAGGGACAGAGAGAGACGGTGATAGGACATCGGTTCACAACTGAAGTTTTTTACCTACAAATACCCAACCTACTGAATTCAACTGGCACATTCTCACGATTCTGTGCAATGCTATACTATCGATTCATTGTCATCATTATGAATAAGCGAAAATACGGGCAATACCAGTACAATCGACCAGTCAGGTCGTTTGACTTGAGACGGAGCCTTTACACTGATGCTTACATCAGACTACTTCCTCCTCAAATTACCCCAATAGACACGCTTAAGTCCTCGCTTTCGTTCCATACTAATGATGCCACAGTGGATCGGAGTTGAGACACAGTTCAGGGTGACAAAGTTGAAGTAGTGAGAAAGTTTCTAAGGAGAGTCCCAAGCATATTGCACGTAATCTACGTTATCAGGGAAACGAGAGCATCGCAAAGCCGCGCGATGTCTAATTAAGGGCAGACAGTTAAGGTTCACGCATAATTGGTCACGGACGCGCGCGTTATCTAGGCTTTTCGCAAATCCTTGTAAATAAGCGGTTATGCCGCCAACAACCTCAGTCGTCTATGGTACATAGTTGCACGGTTTCTGAAACCCGAGCAACAAATTCGTGCAACATCATACTTTGGCTGACAAGACGTTCAGGACTCTATCCATCGAGACAGGAGCCCGGCGAACATGGTTAAAATCCTCAAGGATTCAAATATGTACAATGACACTTATTTTACAGAAAAATAAGCAAAATTAGTCAGGCATGACGACGCGAAAATTTGATATTAACGAAAGTCTCTGAAGGTATACACTACTAAGAGAGCACTGTTCACACGCGGCAGTGCTGTGAAATTCGATACAGCCTACAACTAAAGGACTAAAATTCTCTTCCGTAACAGTTAACCGTTCAACTCGAATCCAAAATACACAGACACAAGGCAGCACAACCCACCCACGCACACCAAGTTGAATTAGTACTAAACCCAGTTTAAAAAATTCGTCCACCTGGTTGGCCATTCGAAAATTCTCAAGGTCCATAATTTAGGGTCAGTACAGGTCAGTTTAGGTTGTTGAGGCAGGTAGGCGTGAACCTTTAAGTACTCGATTTTCGGTGTAAAGTAGGAAGCAATGTACAGAACAATCATCTTGACCGAAAAAAATTAAAAGAGTCCATAATTGTTTGACTAAATGGGAGTGAGTCTCAGGGGATGAGCTCGATCTTTTATCGCTGTTGGTCATTTCGGAGCAAAAATATGACCAAGTTCTTTTAAAGCCTTATGTCGAGGGTTGCATCACTACATTTGCAGGGAAGGCATTAAATGGTTAAAAGAGTCGGACAGACAACGAGAACTTCGGCACATCCAGCCCTGCCCGCTGAGTGCGCAGATTTAGCGTGTGACCTCAGAGACTGGTCGTTGACGCGGAGTCAAAAAAGTACTCCGATGCAAAGTTGCCATGTATACCCTTCACTAGGAGGAATTCTTGCAAGTGATCCCCGCAAAATTGCCCATAACTCAAAAGGAAGATGCTCGGATTTATTAGGCGTGTTTCATAAGGAATGGAGCTCTGATCCCCAACCATTTTTTGGCACTCTTGTGATCTATTTTAGGGCCGTTTTGAACTTGAACCGCCCGTGCTGTCCGGGCTTGTATGCCGTATTCTAAGTGCGGCCACACAGATTTTCCGAAAATCAGTGAGAATACGTCTTCGTCAAAATCCAGAAGTGTCCGCCTGATGGTGTGCATTGCGGACAGTGTGTTTTTTGCCACTCTCGAGCAATGAGCGGATGGTTTTACAGAGTTCGTTGTCAGCACACCGAGGTCATTTGAGTTTCGAATTCTTGTAGGGCTGCACCGCCCAGAAAGTGGTTTTTGTGCCGGTGGACATGACTGTGCTTGCTAGGTGAAGTATGCTGCATCTACCAACGTTTAACCACAGGAGCCAACGGTTAGAATACTCTCCCAACCGACTTAGTCTCATTTGCAGTCTGTCTTTGTTGACAGAGTCCCGAAGTACACCCCATGTCTTCATATCGTCGGCAAACATTGTTTCTTTGCAGTCCTATGCTCGTGCGTAATCGTCCATGTGTAGTGGAAACAAAATGGGTCGCAGTACCGAACCTTGGGGAACACCACACTCGGTCACAGGAGGATGTGATTTCCCTTGACCGATACGCACAGCCTGCTGTCGACCCACAAGGCTGTTTCCAATCCATCTGAGGAGGTAGCTTCTAATCCTTTTTTCAGCTCGTCTAACAGTCTCTGGTGTGGCACAGTATCAGTCACCTTCTGGAGGTCAATGAAAGTTATTTGGATCGCGTGCCTGTCGTGAAGAACTCGATTCCAGCCTTGGAGAGATTGCAGACAGCTTGTCGTGCAGAATGATTCCTTTCGGAACCCATGTGGGCAGTCCGATAGCAAGTTGTGAACTCCCAGAAAGTGCATCAATTCGCTTTCCATGATCTTTTGCATGACTCTGCAGAGAACGTATGTCAAGCTTATGGGCCTATAATTTGTCGTCGATGCCCTGCTACCTCCTTTGTGTAGCGGAGTAATATGCGTCAGCTTCCAATCGATAGAAAGTGTACCTGTGTCAAATGGCATTTGAAAGAGCATCGACAAAGGCACAGAAAGCTAACTGGCAAGTTCTTTGAGAAGCTTGGATGGAATCTTTTCTGGTCCTGGAGACTTCGATTCGTTCAATGCCTCTAATTCTCTTCGGACACTATCTTCTGAGAAGAATATATTATTTATGTTTTGAGTCAGCAGTACATCTGTGGCTTGAAGGTACCTTGCCTCGTTTGTGTAGACTGATTGGAAAGACTGCGAAAAATGTGCAGCTTTATCCCTGCTATCCGCAATCTCAACGCCATTAGTAGTCCTTATTAGACGGATTTGATGACTGTTCCTTGTACGTCTTCGGGAGTAGTTGTAAAGTAATTATGGGTTATGTGTTGCTTTTTGCAACAATTTCTTCTCGAATTCGCGGCACGTTTTTATGATCATGCTCCTCAGTGTGCTCCGTTGTGTCTTGTAGGTGTTGGAACACTTAACTTGCCCATTGACGAAGTATTTTCTCCACATTTTGTGTTTACTGTTGATTTCATTCTTTTGGTTGCTATTTGGCCACCCAGACGGCTTGTTCTGTCTTACAATCGTCAGTGGACAGTGATTGTTGATAATCTGCAGAAAGACATTCCTGGAAAACTACGAATCATCCTTGGCAATGCCCGTGAACATCGAGCTCCAGTGGAATACGTATAAGCCTGTCCTTATCTGATTGAAGACGCCCCCTCCCCCCAAATATCACGTCTTTTTTCTTCTGGAGTGTGCAAGGTGGAGAAAAACGAATAATTCCATATTACCACTACTTGGTCACTTCGGTCGAGGCGCGACAGGGAGATGACCTCGCCTAGGCTCTCTGATGTTTTCGCAAAAACCGGATCCAGGCAGTTGGCCCATTGTCCTTCACGTGTTCTCGTTGGAAGCAGTGCATATTGTGTGGGGAGCGCCCTTAATGTTTTCTTCAGTAAACGGTATTCGATTGTCGATTTTGTACTTGACGCCTGAGCAGTGTTCAAGTTAGTCCCTGACGCGCCGAAGTCGCCCATGGTCATGATGTTAGGGCGACTGGAAAATTTCTCAAACTGCTCTAAGTGAGGAGAGTCGGCGATTTGGTCTGTCCTCGGTGGTCAGAAGACAGTGACACGTGGACCTGGCCGCCTTTATGCTCGACCAAATAGCTTCCATACTGCACGCAGGCCAAACCACTATCCTTTCTGTGCCAGGAATCGTTTGATGCTGGAATCCTTCCCAGAGACTGGAGAACTGCCCACACTACACCCCTTTACTAAAGCGGTAGTCGTGCTCTTGCAACGAACTACAGACCCGTCAGTTTGACATCAATCTGCAGCAAAGTGATGGAGAAAACCGTAAAAAAGCAGTTGATGGCTTATGTGGAAAGCCACAACCTCTGGCCCAATGCACAATATGGTTTCCGTAGGGGAAGATCATGTGTAACGAACTTACTATATACAATGCAAAGTTGGACAAGAGCACTGGACGCTAAACACACTGTTCACGTGGCCTATATTGATTTTCGGAAGGCGTTCGACAGTGCTCCGCACCAGCCTCTCCTGCACAAGTTGAGAATAATGGTCCTCGACGGCAAACTTCTCAAATGGATCGAAAACTTCCTCATCGGCCGCACCCAAATTGTCTGCGTTGAAAGACAGCAATCAAGGCGCACATTCATAGAGAGTGGAGTCCCACAAGGCTTGGAGCTCAGACCAACCCTCTTTCTCTTGTTCATCAATGCTTGTGTAGATGGGTTGGACTGTGATATTGCCATGTTTGCGGATGACATAAAAATCTGGAAAGTCATCCAGAATGCTGCCGATGAGACCATCTTCCAAGAAAATCTTTGTCGATTGGACGAGCGGTCCCGCAGATGGCTCTTGTCCTTCAATCTGAACAAATGTATCATACTGCGCCTCGGAAATCAGATCCCTAGTATGCGGCAATGCCATCTGAACGGAATACCACTTCGAGATGCAGAAACGCAGAAAGATCTTGGAGTCTGCGTTGCAGACAGCCTAAAGCCTTCTACCCAATGTTGTAAGGTGGCCAAGGCCATCAAGCGGGCATTCGCGGTTTTCGATGAAGACTGCTTCTCTAAAGTCTTCGGCACGTTTGTAAGGCCGCATCTCGAATATGCAATTCAGGCCTAGAGACAAGAGACGCATCAGGATTACAATCTGCTCGAAAGGGTGCAGAGACGAGCAACAAAATTAATAAGAGGTCAAAGTGCACAGCCATACGAGATTCGTTTAACTAACCTTAATCTCTATCCTCTGATTTATAGGCAGTCGCGCGGAGACTTGATACAAACTTTCCATATCGTGCGTGGCTTGGACTACGCCCTTCGGTGCGATGACTTTTTCCAAGTCGCCACAACAACTAACCTCCGGCAACAGCCCTTCAAGTTAAGTGCGCCCCAGGGTAGATTGAATGTGAGAAAATATTTCTTCTCCAACCGTGTCGTGGAACCGTGGAATAACCTGCCCGAGACGGTTGTCATGTCTCAATCTGTCGCGACATTTAAATGTCGGCTTGACAGACATATCAAGATATAAATCAAATTATCATATGCTGCATCAACAAGCGAACTATATGACTTTTTAACCATGAGGCAAATGACGCATGCGAATCAATATCTGCATTCACTTAATGCTATAATTTCCTGACACTAAGCTTATTTATGGATTTTTTATGTAAGAATAGGGAGTTCAAAGGCGTAAGCCTATTTCCCTCAAATACAATGACTGACTGACTGATGTTATGTTGTTGTTGCCTCGAACAGCTGGTTCCACGACGGTGTGTGTTAACTGAGTATATGCCGTCGTTCTTAATATTACTGGCCGGCTCCAGTGAAACGCATATTTTTCAGAACTATTTCCCATTGAAGATAGCCAGGTTGTGTTCGCCACCCCTCAGTCTCGATTTTAATTTCAAGACAAGTTCGCGGCGTTTCGGCAGTTCCGCTGAATAACTTGAGATCTGGGCTGTAAATAACCCCGAGTCGGTTGCGTAGTCAGTTGAACTGTGTTGATAGACAAACTATGCTTGGCTCGGTTTCCTGACGAATTTCGATGCGCGAAAAAATTTATAAAAGTGCACAAAGTAATTCTGTACGAACGGTCCTAGGGCAAATATCAGAAGCGATAACTGTGATGCGGTAACCAAAGCAAATAGGCCCACTTGGAGGGCAGAGTTATTCCGTTGTGCTCAGTCGGGTTTCATTTATATTGCAGAACAAATGGTAAACCAAGCTGGCCGTCGCCTAATAGCCAACCTCAGAAACACAAATATACAGGTTTTATCAACAAGACTACTCTCCAGCAGGACGGCCGAAACGCCGGGAAGTTGTCTCGGACTTAAAATCGAGACTGAGGGTTGGCCAACACAACCTGGCTATCTTCAATGGGAAAGTAGTTCGGGAAAACATGCGTTTCAGTGGAGCCGACCAGAAATAATAAGAACGACGGCCCCTACTCAGCTAACGCAGATACCATCGTGGAACCAGCTGTTCGAGGCGACAAAATAAGTAAGCCATTAAGGGACAGTGTTGTGACCGAAGATTTCGTAAATGTTAAATTTTCGCGTCACCATGCCTGACTAATTTTGCTTATTTTTCTGTAAAATAAGTGTCATTGTACATATTTGAATCCTTGAGGATTTTAACCATGTTCGCCGGGCTCCTGTCTCGATGGATAGAGTCCTGAACGTCTTGTCAGCCAAAGTATGATGTTGCACGAATTTGTTGCTCGGGTTTCAGAAACCGTGCAACTATGTACCATAGACGACTGAGGTTGTTGGCGGCATAACCGCTTATTTACAAGGATTTGCGAAAAGCCTAGATAACGCGCGCGTCCGTGACCAATTATGCGTGAACCTTAACTGTCTGCCCTTAATTAGACATCGCGCGGCTTTGCGATGCTCTCGTTTCCCTGATAACGTAGATTACGTGCAATATGCTTGGGACTCTCCTTAGAAACTTTCTCACTACTTCAACTTTGTCACCCTGAACTGTGTCTCAACTCCGATCCACTGTGGCATCATTAGTATGGAACGAAAGCGAGGACTTAAGCGTGTCTATTGGGGTAATTTGAGGAGGAAGTAGTCTGATGTAAGCATCAGTGTAAAGGCTCCGTCTCAAGTCAAACGACCTGACTGGTCGATTGTACTGGTATTGCCCGTATGTTCGCTTGTTCAGCTTCATTGACTCGCGTCCTCCGGATTTGATTAGTATCTCCACCTCTCGGAGTTTTCTTCTATTTTATTCGGTAATATAGTACAGAATCGAGGTCGCATGGAACCAAACTGCAAACTGACAACGTATTCTTTGGATTTAGGATACACCAAGTTGAAGGTTATAGTATGTTTGTAATTTATCGGTCTCGAAGTTGTTCCCAACGGTGTCAGTACACAGTGATTACTCCTTTCATTTGAACCGGCGAACTATGTCAAAAATTCGTCATCAACAGCTATCTGCAATCGTCCACCTATCTGTACAGCGCCTTCTGCTTTACAGCTTTTCTCCAAGATATGCATCGAAATCTACAGTCGACTGAGTATTTTTCTATTTAACTTCGTAACTGGCAGTGTATCTCTCCTAACAATTTGTTGAAAGTATCCAGCAGTATTCTAGAGCTGACTGAAAAGTTAGAGAACGATCAGCAATGAGCCACTCAATTATAAAAAAACACGTTCACAAAATTCACACAATCGGGACTTAAACTCAGTACCCCGGACCCAGAGGCCAGAATGTTAATCACTGCGCTACGGATGAACGGTCCATCGCGGGTCAGATTAGGTTGTTAACTACAAAACAGCAACTTGGAACGTTTTTTAATTTATTAGCAGTCTTACAAAAAGAATGTCGCTGTGATCATTAGGTTCCAAAGGCATTAGGTACAGTAGACTCCATGAGATACGGTAGGAAATAAGAGCCAATGCACTGCCAACAGGCATTGAAAACTGTATGACAGACGGGACGGATTTTGCGCTTGCCCGTCGCTGTGTAGGCTAAGGAACTTAAAAAGCGAGTCCATACGCTAGAATAGAAGCAGAGCCCACTGCCGAACATCATTGTGGCTATTCTGAACCACAGTATAATTGGTTTACTTAATAATCCGCCAACTCTGCGATCGACAAACGACATATATCCTCCTAATTAAGGTACAGGCGTGGAAAACTCGAAGCTAGTGAGGGAAAGGTAGCGAGTTATGTCTCCAGGGGCAAGTCCAGACAAATCAGTTCTGGTATATAAGGCGGTAGTCAACGCTAATGCAACAAAATAAGTAAAGTTTCATTGCTTGCTACGGTAACAAAACCTAATAAATCATCGAAGACTGAAGCTGAGCAAGCCAGGGTGACCCTCAGAAGGTGTGTTAGAAAATAAAATAAGGACCCGCCGTTATTTTTGAAATATGACGCTGTTACTTCGTTTCATCACAAGGCCAACTCAGCTGGAAAGTACCCTTAACATTCTATTTATGGGAAAAGAAACGATAACTCTTCGTGCAGTACACCGAAGAAGGGTAATGGATGTAAAAGCCCCAATGCTGGAGCAAGTACGTCACATGAATATCCATGTCCTATACCCCTAAACCGGACGAAAATCAGTTTAACTTGGATGTGTCATCATCCGTCTGGAGCACCACAGTGGCGCTATATCGTGCTAGCGCGGGTGGGACAGTGATGAGCTCCTTCATAAATCGTTAGCAGAATATTGTAATAAGGTGTTCCCCGGAGCCCACGTCCTGCATTTCGAAGGGACGGGTAATGCACGACCCAGACCTTCCTCATCAACATGCTAGTGCCGTCCTGAAGGATGGGGAAATCTTCTGCGTATAAAAGGCTTTCCAACAAGGCAAAGCAGACGCAGATCGTTACTTAAAACCATTCCCAAGACCCCAAAAGTCCTTTTAGAAAACGCAGCCCAAACAGCGCTATTGTTAGAAGGTAGAACGACCTTACAGAGCTCACTCAAGGAAGTGTTTTTCAATCAGACCACAAACCGATGGAAAGACTGCAAATGAGAGAACTGAGATCAGAATTGAAGGAGATAATTGTCAGAGAGGAGAAAAGGCTGAAGATCAAAAAGAACAAATAGTCCAGACCAAGAAGTCTAGTTTGTGATCAAAACCTCCCAGAATGGAGGCCGGTCCTCTCCGAAGAACCAACCATTGAAGGCTAGTTCCGCAAATGTACAAAGGCTCTTCAACGAACTCGATGAATTAAGAAACATAGTTGATGAAATAGAGCCAGACCTTATGGATTTTACAGAAACGTGACTCTCTGAAGATATCACGGATTCAGAAATATCACTTAGAGGAGAGATAGACTAAGACGAAGGAGAGGTTTCATAATTTGTGCCACTTGCAAGCTGCCCCTAAAGCTGATGTACATAGTCTGGTTCGGGAAGCGGAAATGTAAGACATTACCATATCTACTAAGAATATCCGACCACTGACACTTTTGGTGGCGTAGAGTTCACCGAACCAGACTTCTGACCAAGACCTCATTCTCATACCTGAATTGCACAAAGCTATTGAGAAGAAAGATGCCCTTACTGTTGGGGATTTTAATGCCCCTGTCATTGGTTGGCAAACGTGGACTGCGCTAGGGCTGCAAGACAACTTTAATCACAAACTAATACAATGGGCAACGGACAAACGTCTACGCCTAAACGTTGTCTTTAGAATGCGGGCAAGGGGGAGACAACAACCGAACTGGCTTGATTTTAATTTTACCCGGGGAGAGGAGAACGTGCTAGAGTTTCAGTACCGCCCGCCGTTAGGGTCAAGCGACCACATCAAACTCTGCTTCAAGTACTCACTGATTTCCAAACCAATTCCGCCTGATCGGTGGGTGAGAAGCCTTTTGAAAGGGGACTATTTTTTCACGAGGAGAGACGCGGCGGCGGTATCATGGGAGACTGAATTGCATGGTGGAGCAAACGACAATTGGAATACTTTCAGCTCCTTACTGAAAAAGATTGTTTATTCCAATTGTCGTCTGAGAAGAAAGACATTTACCAACTGCCCAAAGTGGACACACATGGGCTATCGCGTAGAGTTCACAAAAATTCTGCAATAAATGCGATTTATATTGTGCATTTTATGAGGGGCCTGAATAAACAGACGAGTACGATGCCGTATAAATTGACATTGCAAGGTCTTAAAAAATGTCACGTCTACAAACTTTTTTAAGACCGAAAACTACCCATTCTTCGAGTACCAACTGCGAAGGCCACGTGATATGCCATCAAATGAGTAGAAGAAAGCATATTTTTGAACACTTTTTACACAAGATATACTTGTATTTATAAGACCACCGAAAATCAATGGGAAAGATGCATGCTACTCAAGCAGACACTTTTGCCGAATGCTGTTTTCACGGAGGTCAAAAGAAGAGTGCATTCAAAAGCATCTACTGGAAGAGGAATCCCATCCTAAGACTCCAGGCCACAAAAGGCGTAATGTTTGGCAGGGCGACTTCAATCAGATGAGGGCAGACTTATCCGGTCTTGACTGGGGCTCATTGTTTACGGGAAGTGCCAACGATGACTGGGAGCTGTTCAAGAATGTCCTTCTGCAGCTCATCAACAACCACTGCCCACTGACTAGTGTAAGACTGAACAAACGCCCTGGATGGCTAAATAGCAACCTCAAGAAAGAAATCAACAGGAAGCACAAATTGTGGAGAAAATACTGCGGCACTAGACAATCTGAATGCTTCAACACCTACAAGACACAGAGGAACAAACTGAGGAAGCTGATAATGCAGACGCGGCGGGAATTCGAGAAGAACTTGCTACAAAAAGCAACGCAGAACCCAAAATTGCTCTACAGCTACCTCCGACGAACTACAAGGAACAGGCATCAAATCCCCTTGATAAAGACTACTGATGGCGTTGAGATCGCTGATAGTTGGGATAAAGCTGCGTATTTTTCACGGTTTTTCCAATCAGTCTACACAAACGAGGTAAGGTTCCTTCCTCCCTCCACAGAAGAACTGCCGACTCCAAGCGTCAGTGATATACTCTTCTCAGAAGGCATTGTCCGAAGAGAATTAGAGGCATTGAACGTATCGAAGTCGCCAGGACCAGACGAGATTCCACCCAAACTTCTGAAGGAACTTGCCAGTGAGCTCTCTGTGCCTTTGTCGATGCTCTTTCAAACGTCATTTGACACTGGAACACTTCCTGTCGATTGGAAGCTGGCGCATATTACTCCGCTACACAAAGGAGGTAACAGGGCAGCGACGACAAATGACAGGCCCATAAGCTTGACATGCATTCTCTGCAAAGTTATGGAAAGTATCATAAAGAGTGAACTGATGCAATTCCTGGAAGTTCACGGCCTGCTATCGAATTGCCAACATGGGTTCCGAAAAGAAGGATCCTGCACGACAAACCTGCTGCAATCTCTCCAGAGCTGGACCCGAGCTCTCGACGACAGGCACGCGGTCCACATAGCCTTCATCGACTTCCAGAAGGCTTTCGACACTGTGCCACACCAAAGGCTCTTACATAAGCTGAAAAAATAGGGATCGGTGGCAACTTCCATAAATGGATCGAAAACTTTCTTGTGGGTCGACAGCAGGTTGTGTGCGTCGGTCGGGGAAAATCAGATCCGGCAATGGTCGATAGTGTTGTCCCCCAGGGTTCAGTTCTGGGACCCATTTTGTTCCTTGTCTACGTGGACGATGCCGCAAGAGATTTAGACTGTGAAGTAGCAATGTTTGCGGATGACATGAAGATATGGAGTGTAATTCGGGGTCCTGCCGATGAAGACAGACTGCAGATGAACCTGAATCGGTTGGAGGAGTGGTCAAACCGTTGGCTCCTGCGGTTCAACGTTGCCAAATGTAGCATACTTCGCCTAGGCCACACAGCCAGATCCGCCAGCACAAGAGGCTACTTTCTAGGCGGTGCAGCCCTACAAGAGGTCGAAGCCCAAAAGGACCTCGGTGTGCTTACGACGAGTTCCCTAAAACCATCCGCCCACTGTTCGAGGGTGGCAAAAACCGCAATGTCCGTACTGTACGCCATCAAGCGTGCGTTTATGGACTTTGACGAAGAAGCTTTCTCTAAGACATTCGGAACATTCGTGCGGCCGCATTTAGAGTACGGCATACAAGCTTGGAGGTCGTGGGCTGTTGAGGATCAAAACTGCCTCGAAAGAGTCCAGAGGAGAGCCACGAAGATGGTTAGGGGTCAAAGCTCCTTTCCTTATGCAACACGCCTAGTAAATCTGAACCTCTTTCCTTTGAGTTACAGGCGACTTCGCGGGGATCTCTTGCAAGCCTTCCGCATTGTAAAGGGGTTGGATTGCAGTCTGGCCTTCGAGGACTTTTTTGAATTTGCTACCACGACCAACCTCCGAGGTCACCCGTTAAAACTGCGCACTCAGCAGGCACGGCTGGATGTGCGGAAGTTCTCCTTCTCGGTTCGGGTGGTCAAACCATGGAATGAGCTTCCCGCAGATGTTGTGATGTCACTATCTATACAAAGTTTTAAGAAGAATCTGGACATATTTATGTTCCGAAATGACCAAGAGCGATGAGAAGTAGAGCTCAACCCCTGTAACCCGTTCTCATTTTGTCCCACCATTATGGGCGTGTTCGAACTATTTCAGCCCAGAACATCTGTGTGTACACCACACATTTTTTACGTTGCAAATAGGTTACTCAAAGGCTTACGCCTATTTCCCTCAATAAACTGAACTGAACTGAACTGAACAGGGGGGGGGCTTGCGATAAGTTCCAGGAAGATTACGGTCAGCGTTAAGGCTAGAGTGAAGACTAAGGTTAAGGTTAGGATTAAGTTTAGAATTAGGTTAAGGGCTTTGGTTAGGACTAAGACACTGGAATAGGTCCAATTCCTGGAATTCAGCGTAAGGCCACTTTTACCAGGGGAAAGATTTCCTACTGTCCTGTCTTATCATTATTTTTTCTTAACCTCGACACCACTTAGGTAAAAAGGATTTAGCGGTAGGTACTTTCTCCAATCTTAGTAAAGGTAGTAAGACTGAAAGTTCTGGGAATTCAGTGTCTTCTACCCGGTGTTGTTGGCTGACATCCATCGAGTCGCTATCAAAAGGTCGAAGTTGACTTTTGCTATTCGGTGTTCTATCCGATCAAGGCACGATCCTGGGTCCTTTACTTCTTCTGCCTTAAATCGACTATACTTCATTAACAATAGGATATTCGCAAAATTTTATTTGCGCCGATGGCCTTAGGCGCGTTCACCTACCGCAGATGTGTGTATTGAAAAGTTAATCTGGACTTGTTTTATCTGTCGAAGTCGAGTTCGACTTGGCAGATGGCATTTTCGCCATCCAAGTATAGTTTCATGTTTTTTCGACCCAAGTAACATTAGCGTTACACCAGTAGATCAGCCTTTAACCCTAGTAACTCCTCCGTAGTTGTTTCACCCCATGCCCTGCGTTAAGAAGTTGAGTTTTCTTTTGTTCTAAGTAAGACTTCCCTTGAAATGATCTTCAACTCCAACCAGCACTCAATACAAAATGCAGAGAGACAATTGTCGCCTAAGTGTCAGCCTAGTTGGTGACGCTCGGCAAAGAAACAAAGGACTGGGATCAGCCCAGATACAACTCGTAGAAATGGAGAAGCTCACCACAAAGACGAACATTCTGACTCCTACCGTGGTCGTTGAAAAACAGTTCAGCACTGAGAAGGCCATCTTGTCAGGCAGATGTCCACGTTGACGCCCATAGCAACTGTCGCTTAGAGGCCAGTGCAAATTCTTGCACTGTTGCAAAGCCATAAATACTTGGACCGAACTAGTTCAGTAGTGGAATTTGGGCATCTGTTAGTGAATCAGAGCTGAAAAGTTAGGACAGTGCATCTGTCTTCCGAGTAAGTGAACCCATTTCTCTCCACGGCGCAAGTAATTCTTGACATGAATTTCGCATTTATGAAGCACTTTCTATCCGTTATCATGGTGACATTTTACACCAACTGGCTTGTCCCATGAAATGTAAACCGAAATTTGAAATGAGTTTTTGATTAGATAAGAGTACGTAAGGGAGGTTGTAATACTGATAGTCATGCAGAACAAGTCCAAGATATCTCGACCATGCCAGGATGCCGGCACTTGAATGAGCTTCTTTCCAGCTGCCTGTAGGAACGACACTGTATAAAAATGACAGCCTTTGTAGTATGACTTTCCCCATTAATTGTAAACTCTTTTATAAGTTCAAATACATTTTATAGAAGACATGCACGAAAATATTATTTCTTGTACACATTTCGCAGCAAATCACGTCTTATTATCCCTATTATCTGCAGTCTGCACCGAGGAAATATTCTTCAATCAAGTGCAGTTTTCAAAAGCTCGATTTCGCTGTAGCAAATGTTTGCAATTACAGCCGTCCCTCGGAAAGAGCTTTACTAGTGTGAGTGGATAGTACTGGCAGCATGTAGAGTAATAATCAAAGACCCATGCCTTGAGACAATTCTTGTTTTTGGGCCTGCATATGTTTCCTAAAAAGTTGCAGGCAGTTTTCTGTTCTAGTGGGGGGTAGAGCAGAAAGAACAAGATCCCACAACTGGGTGGAGTTATTAAATACCCCGTCTTAACCCCTACTATGTGTCTTTGTGTATGTTTGTCATCAGAAGTTTACTTGAGGTAGGAATTGGGTGTTAAATTAAGTATTATCTGTCACAACGACATTGATTCTAATATTAGGGTTAGAAGTAGATGTAGGGAACCCTGCTAGCTCATGAGTCTGTCCAAGGAACTGGGCTGGATTAGGATGGAAGGGGCCATAACCCGGTAAGATGATAGTTGGTAGCCGTGCCCACAGACTCCACAATGGTACCTACTGGCTCGACTTCAGTAGCTGTGATTGCGTTCTCATTATGCTTCTAAATTCACGCGCACGCTGTATTACCTGTATCAGATTCATTCTATAGGAGCTATCCCGGGCAGATTTGCCCCGGTAACGATGACAATGAGGCTTACCCTATATCAACTTTCATTAGAAGAGGTAGTTGACAGGCGTGCCCACAGAATCCACAATTGTACATACTGGCTTGATTTCAGTAGCTATGATTACGTTCTCATTATGCTTCTAAATTTACGCGCGCGCTGTATTACCTGTACCAGATTCATTGTGGAGGTACTATCCTGGGCGGATTGGCACCGGTAACGATGACAATGAGACTTCCCTACATCAACTTTCATAAGAAGAGGTAGCTTTTGCCTGCCTCATTCATTGTAGAGGTACTATCTTAGGCGGATTGGCACCGGTAACGATTCCAATGAGGCTTACTCTTTATCAACTTTCATTAGCAGAGGTAGCTTTCGACTGCCTCATTATTTGCGGATTTTCTCTTCCACCCAAACCAATTTTTCGTATAAAAGTCTTGCCCGGCTTGCGTTGTGGCGTCCCGCGTGCCGCTGCTTGACTCTCGCGTTCTTCTGTCCATGATGTTGGATGGAGTTCTATCGCACACACTGCGGAATGACCTTCGGACCAGTTGCCTTCTTCCCATTGGTTGTTCGTCTTCACTTGCTTTTCTTTCCAATCTGAGGCTAGGATGCATTTATTCCGCACACCCTTCAAAGTCTCCTTGCTCATTTCCACACCTTCCTTGTATTTTTCACCTAATCTGAGTTAGGCTTCCACTTTACCTGGAGCATCAATTCCTAGCATATACTACAATCGCCATTTACCCGTCCACTCAATTGTCCCACCCGTATAGCCCCTATTACCACCGGTCCCGATTGACAGGCAGCTGGGAGTTTGCGGTGTCAGCAGGGCTACCAAGTATCATCTAACCCATGATCCCATTCGAAATGTCGTTCCTGTTTTGTTTTTTGCGCAGCTTACTAATCCTACCGCAAGTTTTTGCAGTATAGATAGGGTGGGTACGTTCCTTGTCTGGACCATCCCGTACCAGCAATCGTACAAGTAAACCACTTCCAGTAATTTGCTTTCGGAAGACTGGGGGGGACTGGTTCACCTGTTGAAATCGCGGCTGCCGACTCCAGCCAACCCCCCCCCCCCCATACACCAGGGTCAACTGTTGAGATTTCAGCAACAAAAATAATAGCTTCATTGTTAAGCGTCCGAAGTGCGCTGGTGGGCCAGTTCATCCCAGCCATCCAGAAACAAAGAACGGGAAGAAGTTTGCTTGTGCGCTTGTTTCTACGGAATTGTCAGCGCAAGAAACGTACTGCAAAAGCTTGCGGCATTATTAATTGGCTAAGTTAGAAATAAAAGACGGTCTCTCAGACTGGTCTATGGCCCCGTGCACCCCAATTTGGCTAGGCCATTAGGACGGGACCAAGTGCTAGCACAGCATCTGCTGACTATACACTTTACAAAAAATACAAAAGGAGCATCACTCGTGAAGGCGATCACAAAACATTCGCAAGAAGGTCGTAAGTGAGGAAACAAAAGTGAACAGCCAACTCAGTGAAAGTTGCTTTGTGGTTAACGCGCGTTATCCCAAGGTAGCATACGACGGTAAGCTGAATCCAACTTTCGCCCTTTTGCTATACAATGATTTTGTGTCGTTCACTTTGCAGACTTTTCAAACTATTTCATACTGTGCCGTAAGACAGCACGGCATCAGCGTGACGAAAAATCCCATAAAGGATATTCTCAATTAGTGGCGGGGCTTGTTGCATTCTGGTGTTTCTGAGAAACAAACAGAAAAGGTCACATCTGGTAGGATTTATGTTGTTCAATATTTTCAAAAAATACAATATCCGTAAACTTCTTTTGCCTGAGTCTCGTTTGTTTATGTCCTACACGCATCAGAGATTCTTCTACGGAAATACCGTTTTTTGTCATATATAAATCGGCAGAAACCTGAGTCTAATAATCGGACCGAATTCCTCGCGAATGTTTCGACAGCGTTTCCTCAGAGTCCGGAAGTAATATCCTGAAATACTAAAAAAACAGAGTTCTTGACAAATTGAACAAACATGCCAAAAGTCGTTTGTTTGGTCCCATGAAGTACGAATGACGTTACTGACTGCATTTTGAGTCGTTGCTAGACTGTATTAGTTTGATTTGGCAATAAACACGTTGAACCATACCTCTTGACTGAACTTACGTGTCCGCTCTGGACCGTTTATTCACTGGCAAGATGAGGTTTAGCAATCATTTTTACCACTTGTGAGTCTTCTTTCGAGATTTTCCGCTGATCAAGCATGTTGTGTACATGAGTTCCTCTGTCTTCTATTTTGACAACAAAATCCTCAAAAGTCCTAATAAATCGTAACTTTGCTTTAGTTCTTCTTGAAATCATATGTTTTTGAATTTCATCCCTTGCTTGCCACGCAATAAAAGTATGTACTCCAATTCCATTGGCTGAGCAATCTACAGGTTGCATTACAGACACTCGATTACGCAACACGCCAACAAATTCTCCTAAGCTCTCTCATTAGTAGTTTGTCCCGGCTGTCTTTTTGTGGTATATAATCGTACGACAGTGGATTTAAAATGTACTTAGTATCATTTTCAGGAAGCGAAGTTGCCCACAGCACGCCAACTGACTCAAACAACGGCGCAAACCCCACAGAAAG